TGGGTGTATTTGAATATCTAAGTTCAGTGCTATAGTGAACTCCATTTTGCGGGTTTGTGGAGTTTAAACTGAAACAAAAATTCTTTGAAAAGCTGTGGAATTAATTCGGTAGAGGAAAGGTCTTTGAATGCTTGCTCTAGCTAATATAATAATATTAAGGATGTTTATGTCCCTTACAACATTTGTAAATCACGACTCAAGTACCATTTATCTCCTTTCACATCTTGAGCTAGTAGTTTTCTAGTTTAGTTTTGTAACCAGTGATCTTCTGTGTTAGATCAACCTTATACATGTGATAAATGGTGGCATTTTGTACAGTGACCCTCCAAGTTTCCTATAAGTAATGTGCTGCCAACCTATGTTTTTTACCTTTTATTTTGTGTCTTCTTGGTACATAAATAAACTGTATGGAGGGACTACTTTGCCCAATATCTTTGCTCTTCTCGTCCTAGCATGAATCTGAAATGTAGACAAGTTCAAGTTGTCAACAGATACTGTTATGACTAGTGAATCTTTTGAATGAAAAGGAGAAAACTCAATTTGAAAAGGGGTTAATATGCCTGTGGCAGGACCAAGCCCCTGGAAAACATTGTAACTCTATTATGCTGTTGTAACTTGTTATAGGAATGGGAACCTTGTTTGTTTGCATTTGATTGATGATCTATTTTGGCCCAAAAATGATTAAAAGAAAAAGGGAATTAGTATTCCTTCAACACTATTTTTCGACATGTATATGAATCCATAATTTATCAAAACAACAGTTTAAGAAATCACTTGATATGTTTTTTATGTTGTGAACACCAAGCTATCAACCTATAATGTGTAGAACATGTAAACATTGGTCGAATCTAACGTTAATTTAATGCTGGAAGATGTGAGTTTTTGTATGTGTAAAATATTGTTTAAATGTCATCACCTCTATATTTTGAATGGTTCTTTTGTGTTCCAACTAGTTGTATGTGAGTAGCACTTTTTCTCATATAAATATTTTCTATTTAACCAATTGATGACTATTTATATTGGAAGAAAGAATGTAAAAAGAAGTTTGCTTAAGAAGTTATTTTTGGAGAGAAAAGTTAGTTTTGGTAATAACATATCATAAGGGATCCACTTTATTTGTCACCAATGGCCCAATTTGTATCTACTGAAATAAGGATGATATTTGATTGTGAAAGTTGAAAGGAAGGGTAATTATCAGCGATGATGATCGATGGGCCTTTGTAGAAGGTCACCTATAAGTCCACCTGATATTGGTATTGTGGTGGTAATAGGATAAGAAAAAACAAAACATATTTGATTGCTTTTATCATTTTTTTTTCTAAAAAAGAAAAAAGAAAAAAAGAACACAGATTCCAAAAGAAATTTGGCAATCGCTTCTGGAATCTTAAGAAAGATGGAATTTAAATGCTCTTCTTCTTTTTTCCTCTTTATCTTTTCCTTTATTTGCTAATACAATACCTCTTAATTTCTTTTTCAACTTTAACTTTGTATTTTTAGTCTCTACGCTTTTTTATCGGGTGAATATGGATTTTTTTATTATGATTCTGGTGCACATTTTTTTGGATGCTCCTTTTCTTATAAAAGATTTTTTTTTTACATTTATATCCCTGTCTTCTTTTTAAATTACCTCTCACTCCTTTTTTCTTTCCCTTTTTGGTTAAGGCACACCAAGGCCCGGTTCACCATAAATGATCTTGGTGAATACTCTTTCTTCCTATTTTAACTCTAATGCTTATTGTCTCACGAGATGGATTCTTAGTAAGGGTGTAAATAGGTTAGGCTTTGACTTAAATAGGTCAGGCCTGTATTAAAAATATTGGGTCTGGTCTAGCCTGTTAGCCTGTGTAGAGTTCAAATTACAAGTCTGACCTGACCTATATTCAAAATTATTAAAATAATAATTTTATTTATTTTATTCAAAACAAATATGATATAGGCCGCCTTGTAAGCTTATAGGCCGCCTTGTAGGTTTGTAGGCTTATAGGCTCGTAGGCCTTTGTAAAAGGTAACTATAAGTCCACCTGATATTGATATAGTGCTCCCCATAACCTTAGTTAAGATAGTTCTACTTCTTACAACTATCTTTTCCATCCTTTAAATTGTGGTGGTAAAAGGATAAGAAAAAACAAAATATATTTGATTGCTTTTAATGTACCTAACGCTAATAATGAATACAAATATATTTGATTGCTTTTATTATTATTTTTTCTAAAAAAAGAAAAGAAAAAGAACAAAGATTCCAAAAGAAATTTGGCAATGACATCTGGAACCTTAAGAAAGATGGAATTTCAATGCTCTTCTTTTTTCCTCTTTATCTTTTCCTTTATTTGCTAATACAACACCTCTTAATTTCTTTTACGACTTTTACTTTGTATTTTTTTTGTTTCTACGCTTTTTTCTTTGGTAAGTACTCTTTCTTCCTATTTTATTCTAATGCTTATTGTCTCAGGAGATAGATCCTCACCATTTTGAAACTCATAACTTGCTTTCAGGTCGATCATCAATGATCTTGTAATGAAAATTATGTTTAATAATAAAAGAACACTAATTATTTAGAAAGACCATGTTTGGTGTTCAATTCAAAAGTATATTTAATTTAACTTATTTACTTTAAGAGGCTAAGGTGAGTTATAACATAAGATCTGTAATTTTCATCTAAGCAACAAAACACCATATCAATTTTTATCTTTGTGCATAGAATAATTGACGTAGCCCGTTCATAAATTTAACTATTTCATATTATTAGAATATATAATCTCACAACATGAGATCACAAAAAGTTACAGTCACTGTGGATGATTAACAGACTGTCAAAATGATGTTCTACACAAACAATTGAATAATTTACTTAGGAAATTGTAATTTTTTGATGTGTTATGAGAGTAGAATTACTCAAGGGGTGTTTTAAGAATTATAATGCTTTATTGCTTTCGTTATCCAAAAAAATACTTTCATACTTTCAGTTTTTAAAGTACTCCATGCTTCTCACGCTCAGTTTTGGTAGGTTACTAGTTTTGATGTTGAGGGGAAAAAAGTGTGTTTGGCTACATAATCAAGTGATAACAATTATCTTACACTACCTTGAATATATATAATAAGTGTCCAAGACACTATGTTTTTATGGTTAAAAAGAGTTTAAATAATTATTAAAATAGTTAAAAATATAGTGTCAAAACAATAAAACAGTAAAAGAGAATGAATTGCCAACAAACAGATAAAATTCTAAATATTAGTTGTTGTTTCAGGTTGTTTAGATTGGAATAACAAAGTACCAAGACGAGGCAACAAATCCGCGGAGTATCAAGGAAATCAGAAATTAAATAAATGAAAAATAAAAATATCGCAACGCTCGCTAAAGTCTTCGCTCAAGCGACCAAGGGAGCGACGATCAGAAATTAAAATGCCTACATTTTCTCTATAAATACAACTCCACGAAGCCTTCAGAAATGATTCTGGGACGCGAAGAAAGAAGGAGTCAGAGACGAAACGCCTCCGTGGCAGAAGAAGAACACTGGCAAAGGGGATGGAAGGAAGCACTCTGCACCATTGATCATCTTCATTAATCAAGTTTTACCATGAACCCTATTATTTTCCAGTAGCTTTAATTTATGTCTTTATGATTATGCATAGCTAAGTTCTTTTTAGTAGTTAGGATGAGACAGAACCAATGGGTTCTTAGTTGATGTTTACCTATTGCTTATGAATTACATTCTTGCTTTTGAATTATGCAATCAATCTGATAATTATGAGTAGTCTTATTTATGATCTGGCCAGTCTTGAATGAGCATTAGAGTCGTGCATGACGATAGGGATGTTGGTGTATGATTTCGATTGATTGATTGCTGGAATTTGTATAATCTAGGGATAGACTTGCGAATTCTATAACCGTAATGCTTATTTTATGAAAAAGTACTAAGGGATTAGGCTTTGGATTAGAATAAAGGATTGGATTACCAAGGGATTGGAATTTAATCAATCATAGAAAGAGCTGTTAATAATTTGATCTTGAATGTAATCGTAAGAATAGGCAAAATCGTTAAGAAACCATTGGGGAAGTTGAATCCTAACTACGCCTTTTTATTAAAACTTAAACTCAATTTCTAAGTTTATTTAATTCTGAATTTATTTCCTAAAATATAAAAAAACCAAAAATAAGTTTATAAATTCTGCATTTAATTTAATCACAATATTCTCAAAACACCCTTTAATGATCGATCCAACTTTAGTTTAATAAATAAATTATTGCTTGGTCATCAGTCCTCGTGGGATCGACAAACCTGGCCGAGGATAACCAAGACCCAGAGGAATTAATGAATCACTTCCTAAACCCTAATTTCTCGCATCCGACTGCGAGTATTAGAAGACCTCAAATCCCAGCCAATAATTTCGAAATAAAAGCCTCCTTCCTGAATTTAATTCAAAGTAATCTATTTGAAGGAGACCCGATCGAAGACCCAAACCACCACATCACTAAATTCCTACAATTGTGTAGCCTCATTAAAGCTAATGGGGTTCTTTCTGAAGAAATTCGTTTGATGCTTTTTCCCTTTTCTTTAAAAGGGAGAGCACTTAATTGGCTGGAATTGCAACATGCAAATATCATCTCCACGTGGGAAGAATTGGTTGAGAAATTCCAAAAAAAGTTTTTCCCACTATCCCGATTCTCCGAGCTGAAAGAACAGATTGACAACTTCAAACAGCTCGAAGGTGAATCCCTTTGTGTGGGATGAGGGAGATTTAAAGAGCTAATCAGGAGATGTCCGCAATATGTTTTGTCGAATGGCGAGAAGGTCCGGATCTTTTATAAAGGGGTTACGTCAACATATAGAATACTCCTTAATGCTGCAGCCGGAGGTAGTATCGGAGAAATTACGCCAACAAGAGCTGTTGAGTTAATTGAAAAGATGACATCTGAAGATAACGAGGTCACATCAGTTCAATCTAAGCGAGGAGTTATGCAGTTAGAAGGGTAAGACGCCATGCTAGCCAAACAAGACGAGATGGATCAAAGGCTGGATTCACTTGTTAAACTCTTTACCCAAAATCAAATTTTTGCAGTCAACTCTCAATTTCCTGTAGTCTGCGATACTTGTGGCGGACCTCATAGTGCCGATAAATGTGAGGCTATGGTTACTATAAACCCATCCCAGGTGAATTCTCTTTGGAAAGGCCAACGAAGGGAGAGTAATCCTTATAGTAACACTTATAATCCTGGCTGGAGAAACCATTCTGCACTGTCATATAATCAAGGTGGACCACAACAAGCTAATCTGGGAATTCAACCAGAACAATCTAGTCAAAAGGCAGCTTGGGAAATTGCATTCGAGAAGATGGCTCAATCTCAAGCAAATTTCGCAGAAGAAACGAAAGCATCTTTTAAGAATCAAGAAGCTTCCATAAAGAATCTGGAAACTCAGATTGGTCAGCTTGCTAAACAGATGGCTGAGAGGCCTCTAGGAACCTTTCCTAGTAATACAAATCTCAATTCCAAGGAACAATGCAATGCCATCACTACAAGGAGTGGAATAGTAATTCAACCTGTGGGAAAATCAATAGCCGCACCTAGTAGTGATAAAGATGCAGATGAGGAAAATCCTACTGAAGAGAAAGCTGATGACCGTGTTGATAAAGATGTCACAATTTTTGGAGGACTGTTAAATGATACCCCGCGTAATAAAGTAATAAAGAAGCTTTCTTTAGAGGAAAGGATGAAATCACTTGGAGACAATCCTTATGTTAAGGCTCCTTATCCTCAGAGGTTACAGCAGCACGAGCAGAAGAAAAATTTCTCTAAATTCTTGGAAATTTTTAAGAAGCTGCACATTAATATCCCATTCGCAGAAGCTTTAGAGCAAATGCCATCATATGCTAAGTTTCTAAAAGAGATCCTAACCAAGAAGTGGAAACTCATAGTAGAGGGATCCATTATCTTGACAGAGGAGTGTAGTGCAATCACGCAGAAGAATTTACCTCTGAAATTAAAGGATCCAGGGAGTTGTAGCATGCCTTACACGATTGGCTCGATGACAATAGAGAAAGTTTTGTGTGATTTAGGTGTCAACATCAACGTAATGCCATTATCTATGATGAAGAAGCTGGGAATCACAGAAGTGAAGGCGATCAATATGATTCTGCAACTGGCCGACCGCTCCACCAAGCAAGCATATGGAGTAATAGAGGACATATTAGTTAAGGTGGACAAGTTCATCTTCCCGATGGACTTTGCTATCTTGGATATAGAGGAGGACGCTACTGTTCCCATGATCTTTGGGAGACCTTTCTTTGCGACCTCCAGAGCACTGATTGATATGCCTAAAGGTGAATTGATCTTAAGGGTGGAAGGAGAAATGGCTATTCTCAAAATGTTTGAAAAAGAAACTCCACTACTTACAACTCAGCCAGAGAAAATTTTCTTTATTGAGGAAAAGAAGGCCGAAGAGGAAGAAAAGAAAGATCACCAGCCAGATAAGAGAAGCAATCCGAAGGTGAAGATGGCAAAGCCGAAGAGCAAAGGAAAGCACATCAAGACTAAGTTTAGAGTTCTTGAAGCCAAACCTTCTCGCCCATATGCACGAGAGTATTATTACGACAAAACAATATTTATGATAAAAAGGATGGCATCATCTTTGAATTCCGGCTACAAGCAGCCCTGACTTCTGAAAATGTAACGTCAAGCTAATGACGTTAAACAAGCGCTCTTAGGAGGCAGCCTAAGGATTTATTGCTTTTAAGTTAATTATTTTAGTTTATGATACCAGTAGATTTTACTTTCTAGGACCATTCTAGTTTTATTTATCTGCTTTGATTAGTGATGACTATGGTGATGTACATATTTTATTTTTCTCACTCTGTTGTGAGTATGATTGCTACTACTGACTTTATCTGATGATATTTTTTAGTTGATGTGTGCAGTTCTTTCTTTTTGATTTATTAATTGCTGAGGACAGCAAATTCCTAAATCTGGGAATGGGGACGCACCACACCACATATCTAGTAGCAGTAGTAGCAGTTGGTACAACTATGATCCCTGTGACGAGAAGAGCCGCAAAATTTTTCTGAAAAACAGGGAAAATTTCTTTCCTTATTTCTCTTTATTTTATTGTGTTTCTCCTCTTTGTTTGAAGTACAAAATCATGCTAAGTTAAAATTAGTCAGTAAAATTAATTGATGATGTGATGACTTAGAATATATTTTTTTTAGGAAAAAGTATTGATTGAGTTAGTCTAAGAGTCAGTAAGAATAATAAAATTACAGTATGAGTGATTGAGAAAGAGCATAAATTCCTTATTTGCACACATATAACCGTGAGGTTTGAGCCTAAACAGAAAATTCTTTTCAGTGTGCATTTCACTGTTGAAAATATTAGCAGAACTTGCTTTGTTTCTCCTTAAAATGGTTGTTTGCGTGCATGTTTGAAATGATTGAGGCATTGTATTGTTTTAGCTAGTTAGCCAAAAAGCCAACCATTATGATATCCTTTTTTTAACCCTTTGAGCCTAAGTCTTTTCTGTTCATAATACCTGTTGTCTTAATTAGCCACTCCACAAACACATCTACTTTAAATAAGATTGGATTATAGAAATTTCAGGGTAGGGTGTAAACATGAGAACTTTATCATGTAAGTCAAAAGTGGTGAAAAAGGAGGTTAGGTGAGCTGTGCAAAAGCAAAGGTTGGAAAATGGTGAAAAATAAAAATATTTATTGTTTCTATGCAAATAAAAGTGTTGACAGAAAATGAAAATGAAAAAGAAAAGTATTGGAGGTTAGAAAAGAAAAACATAGAAAAAGAAATAAAAGTGCTGAAAAAGAAAAAGGAAGGAATGAGAAAAAGGATTAATGTTTGAGTGTCTACACTTTACCATGATCTTTCTGTATTTCAATGTTTTAGCGCATTTTTCCTTCTTTATCTTACCTTCAGCCCAACCCCATTACAACCTAAATAAAGACCTCTTGATCTTTTGTGCATGTGAATTAATTGTGGAAAGTGAGAATATTATCAAGATTATGACAATATTGATACAGTGAAAATTTGAGTGAAACACTTACCCTTAGACAGATGAATGATGAGTGACTTGATATATCTAGTGAGGGATGTGTTAAAACAATTTTTATGCTTGATTGACTGAACTCATACTTTGATTTTATAACTTGCTTACTTTCAAGGCTGCTTAGTTAATTGTTTGTTCTTAAAAATCTTATTATTTTCTGCCTAAGTCTGATCATTCATAAATTGAAATACTGCCTAGTCTGATATTTAAGCATGCTTACATATATCCCATGGTCTTAATTTAACCCATTGCTGATGACAACAATGAGCAAATCTGGGAATGATTTGATAAGTGTCCAAGACACTATGTTTTTATGGTTAAAAAGAGTTTAAATAATTATTAAAAAAGTTAAAAATATAGTGTCAAAACAATAAAACACTAAAAGAGAATGAATTGCCAACAAACAGATAAAATTTTAAATATTAGTTGTTATTTCAGGTTGTTTAGATTGGAATAACAAAGTACCAAGACGAGGCAACAAATCTGCGGAGTATCAAGGATATCAGAAATTAAATAAATGAAAAATAAAAATATTGCAACGCTCGCTCCACTGCTCGCTAAAGCGAGCAAGTGGACGAGCAGCTCGCTAAAGTCTTCGCTCAAGCGACCAGGGGAGCGACCAAAGTAATGCTCGCTAAGTAGCTCGCTTTAGCGAGCTCCACAGCGAGCGGATCAGAAATTAAAATGCCTACATTTTCTCTATAAATACAACTCCATGAAGCCTTCATAAATGATTCTGGGACACGAAGAAAGAAGGAGTAAGAGACGAAACGCCTCCGTGGCGGAAGAAGAACACTGGCAAAGGGGATGGAAGGAAGCACTCTGCACCATTGATCATCTTCATTAATCAAGTTTTACCATGAACCCTATTATTTTCCAGTAGCTTTAATTTATGTCTTTATGATTATGCATAGCTAAGTTCTTTTTAGTAGTTAGGATGAGACAGAACCAATGGGTTCTTAGTTGATGTTTACTTATTGCTTATGAATTACATTCTTGCTTTTGAATTATGCAATCAATCTGATAATTATGAGTAGTCTTATTTATGATCTGGCCAGTCTTGAATGAGCATTAGAGTCGTGCATGACGATAGGGATGTTGGTGTTTGTAAGAACCCGCACCGTTAATTAAGGAATTTAATTAATTAATTATGATTAAATAGGAAATGATTCCATAATTGACCCTAATAATTAGTTATGAGGCTTAATAATTATGATAAGTGGTTTAGAATGCGGAAAGTCGCTTTTCGGAAGAAAAGTGCATATACCGATTCTGCTAGTCGGTATAATAGCGTACCGAAAAAGTATCTCAGAAAATTAAAATAACTGCATAATAATTACTAGAATATTATATAGGACATGTAAAACGAGTTTCATGTTAAAATAATGAGAGCTAGTGCTAGAACTGATACTGGCTATGGAAAAACGCGTACCAGAAAGGTGCTCAGAAAATTATGAAAAAAATATGATAAATCTTAGAAAATTATGTAGTTTCATAATCCTAAGTTTGGGATTAAAATGATAAGCGTAGCTGTTTTCGCTAATACTGCGCGATTAAGTGGCAAGAATCTATAAATACTTCTTTTGGGCACAAAACCCTAGGTCCCCTTATTATTCTACGTGAGTTGGCTGCTGAGAGTGTGTCTTCATGTTGTCACCTTCTCCTTGACCATTCCTTGCATTTTGAACCATCAAATGGCATCTTCTTCTTTGATTCTTCTTCCTATCACCTTGTAAACACTTGGTAGAGAGATTTGAGAGGGTTGAGGCAGTGTTTTTCTGAGCTTGTGTTTCTGTTTTGGAAGAGGGTGAGTGCTGGTTAGTGGTGAGTGGAGAAGTCACCATTTTCCTTGGTTGTGGGAGCTCCAAGGAGTAACCTTTGAAGAGAAAGGATCTTCCTTTGTGTGCATTTTCGTGCACAGTGTTGAGCCAGTATTGGGAGCTGCTGTATGAGCTCCATAAGTCATCATCTACCTCTGTTTTTGGCCCTTGGTATGATCACCACTCTTACTCTTGTGTTTCTTGCTAAAAATGGTACCTTGATGCATCTAAAGGCTAAAAGATGATAACTTGTTGTTGGGTAATGTTGAACACACCTAGAAATGCATGTTTAGGTGTTTAAAATCGATAAAAATGGGATCTTGAACAGATATCTTCACAAAGATGCAGAAACTGCATTCTGTCGTGAAATATCCGAATATTTTTCGAACAGATATCCGGATATTGGATATCCGGATATGATATCCGGATATGGGGTTCTGGATATACTGATATGGGATATCCGGATATGGCTTGTGAGATATCCGGATATAGCATATCCGGATATGGCCAGTGAGATATCCGGATATTGCATATCTGGATATGCCCCCGAGGAATATCCAGATATTCTGGGATTTCGTGGAACAGTAGCGTATTGTTCATCCAAAACTGAGTTTGGGGTTGGTGGACCCCACTGTTATGGAAGTAAAGCTTCTATAATTAATGAGTTAAGTCTAAATCAATGATTAAGGGCTTGTGGCTTTGTTGAGAGCCTTTAAGACGTAAAACGTAATGAAAGGGCGTAGTCTTTAACTTGTATGCATGTGGTACATATTTAATGATATGACATTGGTCCATAACAGATTGTGATCTGCCTTGAGTTGGACTTAGGCTGTGAGAGCTTGTGGTATTTGGATAGCGAGCTTGAGGTAAGCTTTCGTTTCCTCGGTTTAGCCATGTAGTGGTTCCACCATGTCCCATGGGGGTATGGTTATATGCATGTTGTGTTTTCATGCTTTGATGTTTTGGAAAATGCTGTTGAGTTATTATATGTTAGTGCCTTATGGATATGCATGTGATGTTCCACCTATACGGTAAGCCTGAGTATGTGGCACATACAATGGTGAGGCTGTGGGTGAGGTTCCTTGTACTCATGTGGGTTTAGACGTATTCCTGCATTTCTCTGGCCAGTAGATTGTGATAAACATACATGTCATAGATATCTGTTGCACTGCATAGTTTTGGAACTTATATTTGTTATAACTGCTTTTTGAACTTATATTGCACATGTAAGTGAGCTTGGGGTGGAAGATCCTTGAGGACCCCTTGTCTTACTGAGATTTCTGTTTAAAGATCTCACCCCACGTTTGGGGCACCATTTCAGGTTCAGGTAATGGTGGTGCTGAGACTTCTAGTGGCAGGAGGCCAGAGCTTAGTTGATTATGCTGTTTATTATGCTGATATGTGGATGTTGGATTTATGTGCTGCTGATCATGGTTTAGCTTCAGTTTATGTTTTGGAGTATTATATTGAGACTCTGCTTTAGTTGATGTTTATTTGGTGAGCATAGGGCTTGTCCATGACACATAGTATTGTATGACTTTTATGTCTTAGTCTTATTTTGGAAGTTGTAATAATTTATCAGGATTCTTGTCCGGACTCCGAGTGTGGATCCGTGACTTAGACACTCACGTCATTTATATATTGATGTATTTCAGTTAGATGTCTTATTGCAATTTACATTCAGGCTATATTTTATGAAATTGAGTAATTAATCAACTTGGTTAAGTTAATAACGTCATAATTGAAAAGGAAAGAATATTCCGCATTTTTAATTAAGCACCGTTTAATACGATGAAATGTTAACATTTCCGGTTCTAGAACGGGGTGTTACAGTGTATGATTCTGATTGATTGATTGCTGGAATTTGTATGATCTAGGAATAGACTTGCGAATTCTATAACCGTAGGTTCTTGCGTTAATGCTTATTTTATGAAAAAGTACTAAGGGATTAGGCTTTGGATTAGAATAAAGGATTGGATTACCAAGGGATTGGAATTTAATCAATCATAGAAAGAGCTGTTAATAATTTGATCTTGATTGTAATCGTAAGAATAGGCAAACTCGTTAAGAAACCATTGTTGAAGTTGAATCCTAACTACGCCTTTTTATTAAAACTTAAACTCAATTTCTAAGTTTATTTAATTCTGAATTTATTTCCTAAAATATAAAAAATTCAAAAATAAGTTTATAAATTCTACATTTAATTTAATCACAATATTTTCAAAACACCCTTTACTGATTGATCCAACTTTAGTTTAATAAATAAATTATTGCTTGGTCATCAGTACTCGTGGGATCGACAACTTATCTTATCACTTTATTACTTGTACGACCGGTACACTTGCCGAGTTTCCAACAATATATATTGAGAAAAGGGTGGGAGGAAGTGAGGAGAGAGAAAGGAGAAAAGGGTTTATTTTATTTTGCAAATATGGACCGTTAGATTAGATTGTAATCGAACGATAATAAAATGGATAGACAAAGGTAGGCAAAATAGGAGTAGACAGAATAACCTCTATATATATAAAATTTTGACCTCCGGTGACCACAGGGGCGGTCCAATCAAGTTTTTAACGCAGCCCATGACTTAAATTCGAAACTAATAATTAAGTTGGAATAACTTCATGCTAATCGATCTATGAGCTTGATGATTAAAAAAAACAACATTTAACCCGTGATGCACATAACTAAGTGTGTGTTTGGTACAGGAGAAATTTTTTGGTGACCGGGAATCATGATTAATGGGAATTCAGTAGAAATTGAGTTTACTTGGAATCTTACGAAAGATGTGTTTGGTTCGCCAAAATATTACCGGGAATACTGGGTAAAAATTACTGATTCCATATTTGGTTTAGAACGAAATATGACTTGGAATATGAGGTTATTTTACAAAAATAACCCCAAACTATTTTTACTTTTGTAATTGATAGATTGGGTCTAGATTTTTATGTGTATTGGGGTATTTTTGTCTCAAAATTTATTGTTGTGCTTTCCCTTTACTTGGTATTCTGATTGGTATTCCGAATTACCATATTATTTTTGGTAATCTGAATAGTGACTTTTCTTTATAAATCAAATTACCGGTAATCCTTGGATATCCGGGAATCGTAATTTATTCATTCTATCAAACGTGGTAATTACATTTACCAAAGAAGGATTACCGGTAATCCTCTCCAAAAACTTGAACCAAACACCCCCTAAGGGTAATGTTTTCAATTTTTTTGGTTAACTTTTAGTATAAAAACAAAAAAAAATAGCATTTGATGAAACTGAATTTTTTTTTCTTCCAGAAAATGAACCAATAGTAAAGAAATACATATTAACATAAACAAAGAATATATATATATATATATATAGAGAGGATGATTATATTTACAAACTTTTATTTATAAACTCTTACAAACTATATTATGTATTATCAGAAATATATTAGGTCACACTATGTACTTCCCGAAGTACATAGTATAATTTGCAAAAATTTGTGAAATTTTTTTATAAATGGATCCTTCCCTATATATGTGTATGTATTTATATCTATGTATATGTTATTATTTCAAGTCACACTTTTATCAAAAACATATATTATAATATATTATCAGGGTTAAATACATTCACTCTTATAGTATGATCAAACGCATTGTGTTAAACTCAAACACTTTTTTTAATCAAAAACACTTCCTAAGCTTAGAGATAAAAAGAAATTATTTATTCCAAAAAGATAGAATCATGCATACCCTAAAATTAGGGATGCGCATGGAGCGGTTCGATTCGGTTTTTATCAAAAACCAAATCGAAACGGTTTTAAATGATTTGGTTTTTAAACCGAACCGATTTTATAGTTTAAAAATCGGTTTTAATTTTTTCAAACCGGTTTGAAACCTGTTCCAAGACCAGTTTATGAATTATAATCTGTTTTGATTGAAAATCGATTTTAATTCAAAACCGATTTTAAATTAAAACCGGTTTTGAATCAAAAACCGGTTATTAAATTAAAACCGGTTTTATAACAAATTTAAAATTGGTTTTTTGATGAGTTGTGTTTTTTTTTAAATAAAATAAAATAATTAATAAAATAAAACATCGAATATTATATCTAAACATCATTTCAACCTTAATAGTATCTGTCTCTTCCATTTTTAAAACAATGGTTCTACTTCATACAAGTATCATTTTCCATCCTTTATATCGTGGTTGTAATAGGATAAGAAAAAACAAATTTTATTTGATTGTTTTTATCATTTTTTTCTAAAAAAAGGAAAAAGAAAAAAAAAAGAACACAGATTCCAAAAGAAATTTTCAATCGCTTCTGGAATCTTAAGAAAGATGGAATTTAAATGCTCTTCTTCTTTTTTCCTCTTTATCTTTTCCTTTATTTGCTAATACAATACCTCTTAATCTCTTTTACAACTTTTACTTTGTATTTTTTAATCTCTACGCTTTTTTCTCTCGTAAATGCTCTTTCTTCCTATTTTAACTCTAATGCTTATTGTCTCAGGAGATGGATCCTTAGTCCTTTCTCATTACCATTCTGACACTCATAACTTGCTTTCAGGTCAATCGTCAACGGTCTTTAGCCCGCGGTTTTGAAAAGCAAGTAAAGGGTTTGCGGGGATGAGAAAGGGATACGAAGATCAGAGAAGATGAGAGAGAGAGGCAAGAGAAAAGGCATTTGAAGAGTTTTATTGGCAAAAAAATTAATTTATTACTTTTTTAATAAAAAATTACGAATAAGTTGTCGTTTTGCAAAAAATTACGAATCTATAGCACCCAAACACGCCCACATGGGGCGTGTTCTGATATACGTAGATCGCCTCCGTGAATGTCTGTGCCCGTAACTGGGGCAGTCCCAAAAACCTCCTGACACATAGCAATCCAATCCAACGCTGTAGATCCGGTAACTGCCTGCCCGTCAGTAGGCAAACCAAGTATACCAGCCACGTCCTGTAATGTAACGGTCATCTCTCCCTGCGTCATATGAAATGTGTGTGTCTCCGGTCTCCAACGCTCAACCAAAGCAGATATCAAGGGGGTATCGATCTGAAGGAAAAACAACAATTATACAAAGTCCACATACGGTAATTTAATTAAGCTATTTGAACATTACATACCTGAACATGACTCATACGTGCCACGTGTATGAACCCAGCCTGTGTCAAATAGTCAGCGACAACGTCTGGTATATCATCGTGATGGGGTCCCCCCTGAAGTTTCCCTCGCCTCGTCTATAACCCCCTAACCGTATCCTCGTTCCACACAACTTGTGAAACGTGACTGCGCTGTGTCCTCTTACAGAGTACCTCCCACCTATATGGACCAGGAAGTACATGCGTACAAGGATCGGATGGCTCAAGATCACCATCGGATCCAGAGCGCGAGGACTCTGATGAAGACGAATGGGCCATAATAGAAACTACTACAGATGAAAAAGATGTACCCAAATTAGTATTGATATTATATTAATTTACACTAAATAAAATTTAATTGCACTTAATTAAATAGCATTTAACTAATAACTTCAATTGTTATATTAATTTCAATTACATTAACATCATTGACAATTAATTCATTTAACATTACATTATTCTATCAATATATTTCAATACAAATATCAATTCAAATTCAATTTAAATTAATATTGCATACGTTATTCATTCGTCTTTAACCCTAATTATAATGTGGTTAATTGAAAGGTCAATATGTTTGCAAGTGTCATTCATAAAAAAAAATTAATTGTCACAAACTAATTTCTAAGTGTGTAAATAAGTCATAAAACCAACATATACCAATTTAGAAGTAACTAATTAATTTGTAAGTCCATATAATATATAAGTCACATCACAATCTTACATAGGTCACTAATATTTTTCTAACCCCCCTAACAATTAAATAAAGTCACAAATATTTTTCTAACCCCCTAACAATTAAATAAAGTTACAAATATTTTTCTAACCCCCTAACAATTATCTAAGTCGCTAATAACTATCATATATTAATTGCTGTTAATAAAAAAATAAACAATAAATAGAGACTTACATGAGAGAGAGACAGAACTTCGCTGCGCAAAATTCTCCAAAAGAAATTTAGAGAGAAGGAGGAGGAGGAGGTTTAGAGAGAGGATGTGAGGGTGGAAATGAGGTAAAAAAGTGAAAAACGGATTTATATACACCGCGGATAACACGCCCTATCGTGGGCGTGTCTCTCTCCTGGAACACGTCCTTCCTTTGCCGTGTTTGCTTCATAGCTCACGCCCTATCCTAGGCGTGTCTCTCTCCTGCCACACACGCCCTAACTTGGGCGTGTCTCTTTCACAAGCTCACGCCCCACATGGGCGTGTCTCTCTCCATCAGAACACACCCCATGTGGGCGTGTTTGGGTGCTATAGATTCGTAATTTTTTGCAAAACGACAATTTATTCGTAATTTTTTATTAAAAAAGTAATAAATTAATTTTTTTGCCGAGTTTTATTTACTATGTGAAACTGATATACAACACTTACAAACTATTTAAAGACGTGGATGTTACTGGTAATAGTTTTATATGAGTTATGTTGTAGGAAAAATGATTGTGTTATGTTATAGAGATTCGTTTTGTGTGCCGAAGTTTATTTTTATTTTTTTTGCTTAAATAATTGTGGATCCCACAAAATATTGTGTGTGTAACAAAATTGTTGTGGTCATGTTAAATGATAGATATAAACCCCTACTAGTAAACGTGGAGATTACTGGTAACAGCACATGACAGCTGTAACACTCTAACAAACTAAGAGAGCTAATCAGGTGTAGCACACACCCTGGTACACCAGCAGACAGATACAAATAGTAAACTAATCTACAAAGCATTTTATATGCTAATAGCGGGGAAGAGTGGAGTGTGGAAGTTTAACTAAGTTGTCGATCGTCATCATGAGCTATTTCCTGGTATCTATGTATTCTATGCTTTTATTTAATAATAATCTAAAATGTAACTCCGTTTGAATTTTTTTTTTGGTGAAAAACTCCGTTTGATTTGGGACGTGAAATGTGTGGCAGAAAAGGGTTGCAGATTCTAAACGAAGATTTCTCGATCGAGCTGTGGCGATAGCTGCTGCTGGTTCAACACTCTTACTGAAACCTGCCTTCAAATTTATAATCTTTGGTAGACGGACGCTTATTAACCTGCCTTCAAATTTAGGAGCATCTGTGACAGCGCGGGTCCCTTTTCCATTACAAAATTCTCAAGTGCTGCATAATTTGCTTCCACGACATTTACCTTATTTCGACCAAGCTGGTCTGTCTTTACTTTGATTTGAATTTGGTGTGTTTGTAGATATGTGTGTAGATTTATGTATTACGTTTGGAATTGGAAATGTGTAGGAATACTTGGGTTCTCTTCTTATAGAGTCGGTCCGGTTCCTTCACCCGACATATCTAAGGAAACTTCTGGGGCTGTTGGGTCAAAGTCAAGTGATTATTTTGGCAGACATACTATTGCAAATGCTGCTGCTAAAGTTGGACCTGCTGTTGTTAATATTACTGTTTCCCAAGGTATACATTTAGGGTTCTTTTTTAAGCTTAAAAAGTTTTGTGCTTTGATGCCCTTTTAGTTTATTCTGAAGATTAGGCATCAACCGTGTAGATTTGTATGGTATTACCACAGGATTGGGAATAGGATCAGGATCGGGAACCATCATCAACAAGGATGGTACAATCTTGACACGTGCTCATGTCGTGTTTGATTTTCGACGCACCAGAAGTTTATCCGAAGGGGAGGTTTGTTTACATGCTAAGTCTATGTCATATCTCTCAAACATATACTTGTAACATTGTGTTGGTATTGGTAGATTTGTTATTGCTTTCTGTTATGCAAATTTGAGATCTTGTACAAATGGGTGTTTCTTAAACATATTTCTCGAGTACATTGATGTGAATATAACTTCAAGTTAGAGTTATAGGAATTTTTTGATAGATTTATGTTAGAAGTGTTACAATTGTTGCTTGCTCCATGACTTTGGGTGAGACAAAGCTAGGGTGGCTTAGGATATGGTTTGGGTAAGTCAGAACTTTCTAAGTCATGGTTTGAAAATTCATTGATCCATTCCCCACAAAATAGGTTATTCCTAAATTGTTATTCAATTAGTTTTGATTGCCTATACAACTGAATGGAAATGATTCTTTGGCACACTGATAGAACCCAAAGTAAAACGACACAAAATAGACCTGAAACTATGGAAATTCACATTAAGCTCACTAATATCAAGATGATATCGGTGGCGTGTGTATGGGGGAAGTACAGAAAAGAAAATGATATCCGGCATTGGAGGCCATTCTCTCCCCCTTTCGATTTCTGTCTCAGTTATTTTTACCCCCTGTTCTTTTGTACTCCTTCCTCAGAAGCTGTTATAGCATCATCAACCATCTTTCCAGCCTTACATCTAGTCACCCTTTCATAGGCCTGATTCTCTATGGTGCCCCCTGGCGTACACCCTATTTATGGGTGGGTTCCTATCACATACCTTAGTATTGCACACCTTAGTATTGCACAAGCACAACAGCTCCTTGCAATCATATATGATATTTTATTATTGAGTGTAAAGAGTGACAGACAGGCGAGTTACTCCTTTAGTCGTAGGCTTTGTGCTTTAGCTGACTTGGCAGAATGATTGGTTTAACTTGAATGTGTAATCGTTTATAAATTATTATTCATATGCGAGTTTTTGTATAAATAGCATTTTTCCCATTCTCACTATTTTGGCTTCATGAAGACATCAGATGTATATATGACAAAGTATGACTATGGACACTCATTTTTGGGTCTTACAACCAATGGTTGATTGTACAGGTTGAAGTCACTTTGCAAGATGGAAGGACATTTGAGGGGAAAGTGGTAAATGCTGACATGCATTCAGATATTGCTATTGTGAAGATCAATTCTGAAACCCCACTACCAGAAGCAAAACTTGGTTCTTCAAGTACGCTTCGTCCTGGGGATTTGGTCATAGCCATGGGCTGTCCGCATTCCCTTCAGAATACTGTCACCGCAGGCATTGTAAGGTGTGAAGAAAAAATTTCAGACAATAACAGATGTGTCATTGTTTTAAGATATTTTCTTTTGTTTTAAATTTTGCCATTTCATGTAATAGATTTTGGAAGCTAAAGCTATATGGTTGTTTGGCGCAGTAACTTAATATTTAACCTTGAAGCTTATTAAGTTTTAAAAAAGGGGCTCCTGGTTTTCTTTTTGACTAATGAAATTTTTATCTTGTATGATTTTCACGTAGTTGTGTTGACCGGAAAAGTAGTGATTTGGGTTTTAGTGGCACGCCAAGAGAGTATTTACAAACAGATTGTGCAGTCAATGTGGTATATTTTCCTGTCTTTATCCCCATAAGCTCCCAATGTACCCAACTTGGTTTGCATTTGTTGTACGGACCAAATCTTCACTTGCATGTTTATTCAGTCTGCTTGTGTATTTTTATCTGCTTCTATGGTATAGGGATATTCTGGAGGACCTCTTGTCAACATGGACGGAGAAGTTATTGGCGTGAACATCATAAAAGTGAAGCAAGTGTCGACTGATGATGGGTTGAGTTTTTCTGTACCAATCGACTCTGTGTCTAAAATTGTAGAGCATTTCAAGAAAAGTGGGTATGTTATTGGTTTTATCCTTACTATTTTTATTGCATATGCATTGGAAAATAGGATGTAATTTGTTGTAAAATATTGTCAGCTTGTCATTTGTGTTATGTTACATTCAGAAAAGGATGTTTTACATTCTGAGATGAAAGTTAAATTATGCTAAATATTTTACAATTTTTTCATTTTTAATATATTATACAAATAGTCCATAAAACATTATTGATTTAAATATTTTTATGTCAAATTCATACTTGAGTAGTTGAGCTCTACCAGGTTGAGGAAGTCAATAAACATTACTTAATGTTGTCCAGGAGAGTAGTGCGGCCTTGGCTTGGGCTAGAGCTGTTTGATCTTAACGAGATGATTATTGCGCAGCTTAAAAAGGAAGATGCTTCATTCCCTAACGTGGATAAGGGCATTCTTGTACCAATGGTATGTCCCGAATTGATCCTTTCTATCTATCCTACTTTTTTACACACTCTACTGTGCCAGTATGGGCAAATGGCCATTGAAATTCGATTTGTGTAATTTTTCAAACTCTACATTCACTGGACAGAATCTTTATGCTTTTTTTTGGGAGACAAATCAGTTCCAAATATGTTGGCAACAAGTAAAGGATTTTTGTTGAAATTATCTGCCTTCTTTGAGGGCAATGCATTGGCCAATAAATAATATTTCTTTTTGCTAGGATGGCAACTTTCCAAAGAGACTGTCTTAGTGAAGCAGTGGTCAGTTCACACTTTCACAAGCTTGTTATATGTAGCAGGCTGCTTTCTTGAACAATAGCTCTTTGTGGATCCAGAATTAGGAAACTAGAAAACTAGGAAACTAGGAAATAGCAACCTAGAAAACTGAGAAACCATGAGCTATACAATGCTTAATTTGTTAATGAAGAAGTTAAAGAATGGAAAGACTACTAGAGGCCACTTCCTGCACTTCCTGATCATGTGGCAAATGTGCAATTCTCCATTTGAATTGGTTTTTCTTAATTTATGTTATTCATTGTAATTATCCTCCGCGTGTAATTGTTTCTTTTCTGGAATAATATGCACTGCGTTCACTAATGCAAGGCCACCATTAGATAACTTGAAATTACATGACTTAAAAGTTTTTGACTAGGTAATGCCTGGGTCCCCTGGTGATCGTGCTGGGTTCCATCCAGACGATGTTGTCGTTGAATTTGATGGGAAACCTGTTGAAAGCATTAATGAGGTATTGCGATATTTTGTATATTATTATTTAATTTTTATTCTAATTTTGCTTTTGAAGTGAGATGATTTGGTAGAAAATACAATTGGACTATAATTTGATGTCTCTTTGGAGTCCTTGGGCTATATTTGGATTGATGAAAAGGAACGGAATGCTGGGGAATGGAGGGGAATGCAATGTGAACATGATGGAATTTGTTCCATTCCATCCAATACCTTCTTTTTCCTTCCTCCCATGTTGAGGGGATAAGATGGAACCATTCTAATAAAGATATTGCTCCTGCCATTCCATCCACTTTCCAAACATTGGAATGGACTTTTTATTCTGTTCCATTATGAAATATCCAAACAATAGTATGATATCATTAGGTATCCAAACATATCCTTATTAAACGTGTTTTAAGCTTATTAAACGTGTTTAGTTGAAAGTTTTATTTACTTAAACCTAGTGCTAATATTAAAAGGCAAAATTGAGAATAAAAATTTAAATGATTCCATAGGTATTTACTCTTCAAGAAAAATAAATTCAATGAAAGAATGTAATGTATTTTTTGTGGGAATAACTTTGTCTTTGTATGGAGAATCTTGATTTGTTATTGAAAAGCTTTATACTTTTGCTGCAGTTGAATTTACTGTAATCTCCACGGTCTGTCAAGTGTTTCTTGAATTCATTCTTCATTGTGATGAAATATGCCTGTTTATATATTCTCACGAGATATAAAACTATGGCAGGTAATTGAAATAATGTGGGACAAAGTTGGGGTGCCCATAAAGGTACTAGTTAAAAGGGCAAGTGATAAATTGGTGACTTTAACTGTGATCCCGGAGGAGGAATCCGATCTCGATGTGTAAAAGGTATACACACAAAAAGACACATAAAAGGGGTGTCATTTCTTCCCTTTTTCTTATTTTTGTCATAAAAGGAGTTGCTTGAGCTAATGGAAGCAAAGGAGGTTGAACAGAACAAATGGTGTTCACATACTTTATAGTATTGCAAGTATAGAGTTTGACTTCTTCATGTTGTTCCACAATAACACATGATTTCATATAGATTTTATCTCCTTTGATAATAAACTGGTTTGGTAATTCTTATGTAGTAATCCATTTGGTTTTAGAATTTCATTTTGTTAGCGGTCAAATATAAATCTCACAGGATATTTTGAACTTAAAATCGCCATTGCCTGCCAGTGAATCTGGATAACCTTGTATTTTAATCTGCTTTGACATGAAGCTTCTGCCCGATCCCTCTAGATCATAGTTCCTTATGAAACCTTCTTGTGTTATTACAATACTATTGCTTTTCATATGTTATATCTTGGTGCTTCTTAGCTCCAACTAGAATTCTCTGGGTGTATTTGAATATCTAAGTTCAGTGCTATAGTGAACTCCATTTTGCGGGTTTGTGGAGTTTAAACTGAAACAAAAATTCTTTGAAAAGCTGTGGAATTAATTCGGTAGAGGAAAGGTCTTTGAATGCTTGCTCTAGCTAATATAATAATATTAAGGATGTTTATGTCCCTTACAACATTTGTAAATCACGACTCAAGTACCATTTATCTCCTTTCACATCTTGAGCTAGTAGTTTTCTAGTTTAGTTTTGTAACCAGTGATCTTCTGTGTTAGATCAACCTTATACATGTGATAAATGGTGGCATTTTTTACAGTGACCCTCCAAGTTTCCTATAAGTAAAGTGCTACCAACCTATGTTTTTTACCTTTTATTTCTGTGTTAGATCTTCTTGGTACATAAATAAACTGTATGGAGGGACTACTTTGCCCAATATCTTTGCTCTTCTCCTCCTAGCATGAATCTGAAATGTAGATCAAGTTCAAGTTGTCAACAGATACTGTTATGACTAGTGAATCTTTTGAATGAAAAGGAGAAAACTCAATTTGAAAAGGGGTTAATATGCCTGTGGCAGGACCAAGCCCTGGAAAACATTGTAACTCTATTATGCTGTTATAGGAATGGGAACCTTGTTTGTTTGCATTTGATTGATGATCTATTTCGGCCAAAAAATGATTAAAAGAAAAAGGGAATTAGTATTCCTTCAACACTATTTTTCGACATGTATGAATCCATAATTTATCAAAACAACAGTTTAAGAAATCACTTGATATGTTTTTTATGTTGTGAACACCAAGCTATCAAGCTATAATGTGTAGAACATGTAAACATTGGTCGAATCTAAAGTTAATTTAATGCTGGAAGATGTGAGTTTTTGTATGTGTAAAATATTGTTTAAATGTCATCACCTCTATATTTTGAATGGTTCTTTTGTGTTCCAACTAGTTGTATGTCAGTAGCACTTTTTCTCGTATAAATATCTTCTATTTAACCAATTGATGACTATTTATATTGCAACATTTGTAAAGGTAACCCTGTTTTTATATAATAGATTAGGTTATATTAGATTTTAATTAACACCATCATTGCAAGAATGAATTTGGAAGAAAGAATGTAAAAAGAAGTTTGTGTAAGAAGTTATTTTTGGAGGGATAAGTTAATTTTGGTAATAACATATGATATGGGATCCACTTTTTATGTCACGAATGGCATTTGATTGTGGAAGTTGAAAGGAAGGGTAATTATCAGCGATGATGATCGATGGGCCTTTGTAGAAGGTCACCTATAAGTCCACCTGATATTGATATTGTGGTGGTAATAGGATAAGAAAAAACAAAACATATTTGAATGCTTTTATCATTTTTTTTTCTATAAAAGAAAAAAGAAAAAAAGAACCCAGATTCCAAAAGAAATTTGGCAATCGCTTCTGGAATCTTAAGAAAGATGGAATTTAAATGTTCTTCTTCTTTTTTCCTCTTTATCTTTTCCTTTATTTGCTAATACAATACCTCTTAATTTCTTGTACAACTTTTACTTTGGATTTTTAGTCTCTACGCTTTTTTTTCTTGTGAATACGGATTTTTTTATTATGATCCAGGTGCACATTTTTTTGGATGCTCCTTTTCTTATAAAGGAATTTTTTTTTTACATTTATATCCCTGTCTTCTTTTTAAATTACCTCTCTCTCCTTTTTTCTTTCCCCTTTTGGTTAAGGCACACCAAGGCTCGGTTCACCATAAATGATCTCGGTGAATACTCTTTCTTCCTATTTTAACTCTAATACTTATTGTCTCACGAGATGGATTCTTAGTAAGGGTGTAAATAGGTTAGGCTTTGACTTAAATAGGTCAGGCTTGTATAAAAAGTATTGGGTCTGGTCTGGCCTGTTAGCTTGTGTAGGATTCAAATTACAAGTCTGACCTGACCTATATTTAAAAAACAAAAACCTTGACCTAGACCTGTTAGCCTGTTTAAGCCTATTAAACATTCGACAATTAAAAGATTAACTAAAATAATATTATTTTATTATTCAAAATTATTAAAATAATAATTGTATTTATTTTATTCAAAATAATGATATGATATAGGCCGACTTGTAGGCTTATAGGCTCGACATATACAAAAAAAGTCTATGACCTGTTTTCTAAATAGATTTTTTTTAAAAGCATATGTTTGTTCTATTTTACTATTTGTAATAGGTCAAGTCTGACCTAATATAGGCTAGACTGTAGGCTTCTGTAGATTGGCCTAACCGATTCTGACACTCATAACTTGCTTTCAGGTCAATCATCAATGTTCTTGTAATGAAAATTGTTTAATAGTAAAAGAACACTAATTATTTAGAAATATCATGTTCGGTGTTCAATTCAAAAGTTTAGTTAATAAAACATATTTACTTTAAGAGGCTACGGTGAGTTATAACTTATAACATAAGATCTGTAATTCTCATTTAAGTAACCAAACACCACATCAAATTTTTTTTATCTTTGTGCATAAATTTAACTCTTCCATATTATTAGAATATGTACTCTCACAAAATGAGATCACAAAAATTTACAGTCTCTGGATGGATAACAAACTGTCAAAATGATGCTCTACACAAACAATTGAATGATTTACACAGGAAATTGTATTTTTTTTATGTGTTATAAGCGTAGAATTACTCAAGGGATGTTTAAGAGTAATAATACTTTTATACTTTCAGGTTTTAAACTCCACCATGTTTCTCACGCTCAGTTTTGGTATGTTACTAGTTATACAGATTATTTATCTTTTCAGCCTTTTAAAAAAAAAAAACTCAGATTATTTATACATATTCTAGGTAATGTGGGATAATTATTATCTAAATATTCAAAAACTACACTTGATTATGTGAAAAAGTGACCAATGTATCCCATATTGGTCATTTTTTTACGAGTATGCCACGCGAACAGTAATATTTATTAAAATGTCACGTGTCCAAGTTCGCTACAGCAAAAAGCAAACTCGATTTGATGATGTGGCGTGTTTCTGGTGGTCATCTAGTTCGTTATTGGGTATAGCGAACTAGGTGATAATTAATATTATCTGCTCTGACAAAAATAGAATATATGACAATATCTTTAAACTAAATAATGAGTACATAAAACAACATTAAACACTGAAAAAATAACAGGAAAATTAAAACCCTTAAACCAATTTTCGTTTTACATCAATGAAACAATATCAATTTAAAGAAAGATTGAAACTTTCGTAACAATATATTCATGAACGAAATTCCTTCACTATAGAAAACGATTTCGAACAATTTTTGTGTCAATAGATAACTAAACACTTGTTTCTCAAAAGCCTTAAAGCAATTTAAGGTTTCAATGTATCGATTGAAAAAAAATTAAGAAATTTTCTAAACTTTCATGTAATTAAACCCAAAATTTCATATTCGAAATTTTCTTAGAATATTCAATGAAAATATGCATATGATATATGTTTAGAAAATTCCAAAAACCCCAAGGTTTTCAAGATTAATTGCACAAAATTCCAAACGAAATTTTATCATGAACTTTAGGTTCTATATGCAAATTTAGAATTAATTTTATAATTAAAAAATGGGTCTTATAATCATATATGCATAGCTTTGATACCAAAGATAATTTTCAACCCATTAGATATGTGAAAAGCTGTTGTTTGGTAATTTTTAACGTTTGTTAAAAATCATATTATATTTTATTGTTTGAGAAAATTATAATAGGTTTTACTTTTTTTTTTTATTAATTTCATTGCATTTCTTTGTTATTTTTTATGGGGAAGATTATATTTACAACCTATTTTTGTTTATAACCTTTTACAACCATATCTTAACCGTTGATTTTCGTCAATCACTGGTTATTATTTTCGCAAATCAAACTCATTAATTAATATTTAATTTGCAATGAATGATAACCGTTGATTAACGAAAATCAATAGTTAAGATATGATTGTAAAATGTTGTAAACAAAAATAGGTTGTAAGTATAACCTTTCCCTTTTGTATTGACTCTTGTAATTTTGAATATTTGTTAAAAATTCGTATGGTTTTTTAAAATCTTATAAATCCATATTGTCCTTACAAATCTTATAAATTCTATTAAAATCCTTTAAAATCCAATCTTATGAAATCTTGATTGTAAAAAAAGTCTTTAAAGTGTCTCCAAATCTTATACACCCCCTAAAATTGAAACTCAATATCAATAGTTAAAGGGAAAAATATTTGTCCTTTTAAATAACACAACTTATGTCATTTCACTCTCATAAAGAGGTGAGATCCATATTTTTTTTTGTCCACTCTCTTCCATAATTTATTTTTTTCTTTCACTTAAAATGACACAACTTTACTTCCTTTAGAATGATACACATTTTTCCATAGTTAAATTAAAACAACCTCACACCGATTAGTGCTTGATGATAAACCAAATAGTATTTAACCCGTGGACCGTGATGCACATAGCTAAGAGTGTGTGCAGTAAAGTTTTCAAATTTTTAGTATAAAAAATAGAAATAATTAAAAATAATATTTGATAAAACTAATTTTCTTTCCGGAAAATGAACCAATAGCAAAGAAATACCAATTAACAGAAATAAAAAAATATACTTATATATATAAACGAGTTATATTTACCAACATTTTATTTATAAACTCTTATAAATTATTACACTATTTACTTGCGTGATTATAATTTGCAAAAAATTTGTATAAAGCATAAACAAAGTCTCTTAAGTTTCATAAAAGAAATATTCATTTTAAGAACTCTGATTCACATTCATTCATCCTTCCATTGTAAGAAAGAAAAAGAGAAAAGCTAAAAGCGGGAAAGCGTAATAGAATGTAACCAACACATGCCTCATTCTGTTTTACTTATCCACGTGTCATAATCTTAACATTATAGTTAGTTATATGAATTAAACTGTTCCTTTTCTGATGTGGAACTACGTTGCTCCAAAGAGAAGCATCAAGTTGTTGCTTCGGTGCCCATTAACTAATTTCAGCTTTAGCCCGCGGTTTTGAATTTTGAAAAGCAAGACTCTGCT